CTAAGGATGCGGGGAGGGATAGGCGCAGGTGCTTCCCGCCTTCCAGGCTCCTAGGCAACTTTGTCAACGCAATGGCTTCCTTTAGTCCAGGTCAACCTTTCAAGCTCTGAACAGAGGAGTCCAGGGAGTTGCTAACAATTGGTCATTTTGGGCATTTTATAGAACATCTATGGACTTCCCTGATTTTCCTCTATTAGGGGCGGGGTTTCTGGCTGGTGAAGGCTGAGCCACCAGCAGCGGCGTGAGAGACCTCTGCAGAGACCTTAGATTGGCGGGGGTAGGGTAGTGAGGAGGGTGACAAGAATTACTTTGTCCCGGGGGACACGACCTCCTCTGCCTGCAGCACCGCCAAGGAGATGAATTCCTGGATCGCGCGCATCAACCTGGCGGCTGCCACGCACTCGGCGCCACCCTTTCCGGCGGCCGTGGGCTCCCAGCGCAAATTCGTGCGACCCATCCTGCCCATGAGCCCAGCCCAGAGCTCCCTGGTATGGCTCGGGGAAGGGGTGGGGTGCAGCGGAGGTGGGAGTGTGTACTCGAGGCTATATGCTTGGGCTGCACACCTGGGCCCGGGAAGGGGAAGTGGGGCTGCACACCTGGGCCGGGAGGGGGTGTGAGGAAGACTTGGGTCCTTTCCCCCCACTGTTCTGGCTCCCAGGAGGAGCAGCATCGATCCCACGAAAACTGCCTGGATGCCGCCTCCGATGACCTGCTGGATCTGCAGAGGAACTTACCGGAGCGGCGGGGCCGCAGCCGGGAGCTGGAGGAATACCGCTTGCGCAAGGAGTATCTGGAATACGAGGTGAGACGCCTGCGCCACGCTGCAGCCCCGGATGCGGCTAAGGCCCCGCCCCTCATTGGACCCTCTGCCGCCCTCTCGTGGCTGCCTCTGTCCTTGCAGCTGTCACTGCCAGTGGCAGGGCAGGGCAGAGAGGCGCTAGCTTAATGAGCCTGTCCCCCAGTTACCCACTGCCCCCTCTCCCCTGCCCCCGGTTTCCCATGTGAGCCGTCTGCAGACTTGTTTGGGCGCTCGCATGCACAAAATATGTGCGTCCGTGCGCACCTCACCTCTTGTCCTGGGAGCACATAGCCTCTGCTTGCCTGGAAACACTCAGGAATGTCATTTTTAGTTTTCTTTTTCTCCTAAGAGTATTTTTTTTTTTTTTGAGAAGTTTTTGCTATAGGGCGCGTGCGCTCGCCAAAAAGACAGAGAGAAGTCACCCCCCAGGGGGGATGGCCACGCCACAATCCTTTCTCCTCCATTCTCCTCTCCGGATCTTGGGCACCCAAGCACAGGCACCTGCGTGAGTTTAAGCCACCAGGTCTGGGACTCAAACCACGGTCGACTACATGGGAGTCCAGCAAATAGCCATTATGTCAACTGCTGGTCCCTCTCCTAAGAGTATTTTTTAAACAAGCATGTCCTTGCATGTCCTTTTCACTTTTAATTTTCTTGTAAAATGAGATTTTAGCTGAATAATTCTCCTTAAAACCTACAAAATAATCATAGTAATAGATAATAGTGTAATAGTGTTTATGGCACTCATATTACTTGCATGTAACAACTCTGGGGTAGGTATAGTATCCTCATTTTACAGGTGAGGAAACAGGTGCAGAGTGATTAAACATGTCTAACCCTGATCAATGTAATGCTACTCAAATCATGTATGTATGTGCGTTATTTACGATTGTAACTCAGGAATGACAAATTCTATGATCCTTGTCAAAATATTTTATTCCCTAGTGTTTCCCCCTCCTCCGCCTACATACTCGGATTCTGCCTCGGTCACATCAGTGTGCATCATGGGACTCTAACCCTGAGTGCTTGCTTCAGGGGTCCTAAATGGCCTGCTTCGGGTGGGGCCCACTGGGCAGGAAAGGCAGGCAAGGGGCGGTGTGAGAACAGAGGGACCAGAAGCCATCCAGGCACAGAGCCCAGGGCGGGGGCTGCCTGTGCCCCAGGGCCCTTCCCTTGTGTACCTTGCTCCCTCCCTTTCTGTACTATTTTCTGGGTCCCTGCCTGCCCCTTTAGCTTGCTGATTGTACCTATGGCTGTGAGCACCCCACTTAGTAGACTCTCTGTATGTGGCTGAAAGGACCCAATCTCTCCTCACTGCCGACTAGCTGAGACTTCTAGCAACTCCTGGCCCTCCATTGGCCTCATTCTTCTTTATAAATCCAAGGCAACCTCTTGGGCCCCAACCATCCTCTCAGGGCCGGGCATGAGAATCTAGTGGGTTGTAGACTGGGGGAGCACTCTGTAAACATGAACTGTTTCCCAAGGATGGTAGTTACAGGGCCTTAGCAGGATGAAACAGACGAGGGTAGTTAGCATCATGCTGTACAGATGCCAATTGTTAAAATGCTATTCAAACTCAATTAGGGCTCAGTGCAGATGTGAGCTGTTTGTGCACAGTGCTGCATAGTGGGTTTCATGTCTTTTAGTGTCTCGGAGATGTAACATGGTCTAGAGATGTTAGTTACAGCACTACAAGGTGTTGGTTATTACTAGAACAGAACTGGGCTGATACTTGCTATTATAAACAGTCCAGTGTGTGCTCTTTAAAGCCTGGTTGCTCAAGCACTATGCAGACACACCCCGTCGGCCCAGCCCTTTCTCTGTCGAGGTCTTTCTTGAGATAGCTTCATGTACCCGTGAGCTGTCCTTCACGAGTCCAGCTTCCTCCTGCCCAACCTGGAGCCACAATGGTGCTAAGGTGGTGGGACCTGTGTGTTGCAGAAAAGCCGCTACGAGACATATGTACAGCTGCTGGTGGCTCGCCTGCACTGCCCCTGTGACGACCTGGAGCAGTTGGAGGAGCAGCTGGGGAGGGAAGCTGGCAGCACTCAGGAGCCCAAGCCTAGCCTGAAGAAGTCCCACTCAAGCCCATCTCTGCACCAAGATGAGGCCCCTACCACGGCCAAAGTGAAGCGCAACATCTCAGAGCGCAGAACGTACAGGAAGATCATCCCCAAGCGGAACCGCAATCAGCTGTGAAGCTGGTGCTACCTCACAGACACTGGCCTCTGCTTTGGGTAGGCCCGAGATGAAGCCCCGTAGAGAAGCCATCTTCCTGTGGACCCTGACAAAAGATGGGGCACCTCACCTTCCCTGCTGAAGGACAGCCCTTGTTTCCCTGTGGTCCGTATCCCTTGCTCACCGAGCTTTCCTCATTGCACTATGCCCCCAGTTCCTTGGCAGTCCCTCAACTGCCCGAGCCCTGGCCACTCCCAAGGGAAGAAGCACTTCGAGGACTCGCTCCTCTTGCAGTTTGTCCCATGCCACCTTTCATCTTCCAGAATCAAGCATGGCCTCGTTTCCTGGTGGCAGCTCAGTGGTTATTGTAAGCCTGGGCTTCTGGGAGAACCTGGGAAAGCAAAAACCTCTGGGCCACCAGCAGGGGTGCCACAGCCTGAGGAGGGTCTTGCTCTGGGAATTAGGGGACCTGTGGGGGAGGTCCTAGGAGTACAGATCAGGGCAGTCTTCTGGGAGGAACCTGCGCAAGCTTGCAGGGCTCGGTGAGGCTGTGGGACCTCTGGCTTTGTCTTCTGGCCCCTTTCCTGCTACAGTCATCCATGTGCTAGGGGCAGATGAGAGTGCCTCGCACACCGATTGCTGATCAACAGAGCAGAGCCGATGGTAGGAGTGAGGGTCGGAGTGGTGGGGGCTTCCTGAGCTCCATGGAGAACCCCAGAGCCTGGGAACAAGGAGCCTTTGTTTCCCCAGAGCAGAGAAGGTGGTTCTCCAGGGTCAGACCCCAGGCAAGGGTGGAGGAGTAAGAGGTAGTGAAATTTCTCCAGGGGGGTCTGCCCAGCTGGAGCCATGGGTGTGAGAGATGGGATAGACTGCAGGCCCAGAGACCAGATGAGGCCTGGGCCAGGTTCAGGAAACCCCTCCCTGAACCCCTTCCTGTACACCCCTTTAGTTTTATTCCTGAGAAGTGCTAGGACCCCTACTTCACCTTCAGCCAGCTCTCAGGGGCTTTGCTGCCCTCCCCGGGAAATACCCTTGCCCTGCCCTCTGGCTGCCTCCCAGCTGGACCTGTTCTCCGGGGGAGGTTCCGGAGACTCGGGACTTGGGGCTCTGCCTGTGGGAAGGAGGCTGGGCTGGAGGGAGCAGCCACCATTGTCTCTGCTCAGCCAAGTGTGTGAGCAGGCCGTCCGCCAAGAGGGGGCCTCCGCTGCCCGCCTGCCGGCTGACGCACTGCCTCTCTGGCCTTCCTGCTGGGCCACCCTCTGCCTTTTTGATGCTTCTAGTCAACCCCGGGGACTGGAACTCCACGAAGGGGCCTCATAGGAGTCTCTGGCCAGGGTGGGGCTGAATCTTGTACACCATGGGTGTGCGATGAACTCAGGCCACGAAGAAGGAGGTTGTGTGTATGTGTGCAAGGCAGGGAGGATCAGGCAGCTGGGGCATGGCAGCGTGCTGGGGCCCTGGGCGCAGACGTGTGTCTGTCTATGTGTAGAAGCCTACATCTATGTGTTCATGTGTACACAGGAGTCACACAGTTACAGGCTGTCCTAGTAGAGGAGACCTTATCCCCTTACTCATTCATTCATTCATGCATTTCACATATAGCTCTGAGCGCTTGTTTAGGCCAGTACTGGGGGATTTAAAATGAATTAAATACACCCCTGACTCTGTGAGTGGACAGCCTTGCCTGCTGGTTCCCAGCTATCAGCGCAGAGACACGCTTTCTCTTGCTGGGCTAGCGTGATGCACAGACGCATTGCAGACCCACACCCAGAGATTCTGACTCAGTAGGCCTGCATCAGGACGTTGGATGTATATGAGTGAAGTCCGTGGGTACCTCTGAGATGCAGTAGCAAGTAACAGCCATGGTGGGGTCCAGTTGCCTCCTTTTACTGAGGTGGAAGCCTTGGCCCAGGGGGGTGCTTTGAATGGATTATTTGGCCTCACTGAACATAGATCTTTATTTCTAAAACCAGATTTTAGCCTAGTGGAGGTTCAGCTGCTGGATGCGTGACACTCTGATGCTCCTTTACTCCTGTAGAACCAGCCCCTCCCTTTCCCCTGGGTATGTGAAGCCTTCAGAATCCAGTGGTCCTGACTGCCTGGCCTCGCCTATCAATGCCCAGGCACCTCTGTTGGTTGGCCTGGGTTGTTGGGCTACAGTTGTGACCTGTGACCACTGGGAGGCAGGCTTGCATCTTTCTAGCTCCCAGATGCTCAGGTGTCAGGCCACAAGAGCTGTGCTCATTGAAAGGCAGGAAGTTTGGGTGCACTGGGACCTCTACTTTCAGAACACCATGGTGGCCCAGGCTAGGACTCTCACCATCTCGGGATCCCTCCACAAGTAAAGGGTTTGATCTGTGACATTTTCCTGAAGATGGAGGGGAAGAAGAAAGTTTCTGGAGCCTTATGAAGACTGCCTAGAGCTCCCCACAGCATTGCTCCAGGTGACCCATGACCGTAGACACTGAGTGGGCCCGTCCCAGTCCTGGGTTTTGAGAAAATCACATCTACATAGGCCTAGATCTGACCTTGTCTCCTGCTCCCTCCTTTCCCACCTGTGTAGTGTGTGGTTCCTCAGCAAGGAAAGGGGACCGAAGTCCTTGGTAATGAGCTCAGGTTTCTCCATAGGTGGTGGCTTCAGTTCTTCTTCCATCAAGGAGACCTCAGCCTCCCGGGGGCTGGACCTGCTGTGATCCAGGGTGACATCCCCAATTTGATGTCTTCCTGGTCTCCCATGGTCTCTGCGGGGCCTGGCTTTCTGCCGTCATTCATTTGTCTGCTGTTTACGAGGCACCAGGGAAGATTTAAAGGTCATTAAGGTCCAAGGCTTGCATCCCTTCCCTTGGAGACTGGCTCAGTCTTCTGAAGGTAGAGGCGGTAAGAGGGATGTGTTTGGATTAAAAGGAGGTGGGCTGGAGGGCCAGGATGTGGGGGCCGATGCCAGATGATAAGGGTTTTGAATACACCTAAGGAGTATGACATCTTAGGAATGTGCAGTGTCATTTTCAAGCAGAAGACTCATAGGCTCAGGGTTGAGGAGGTAGCCTGGGAGTTTTTCTTTAAGAAGATGAACCAAATAAGTAAGGCCAATGGGTAGGGTCAGAATATGGCCTAAAACCACGCTGTACTATCTGTGCAACTTTTATGTAAATCTGACGTTGTTAAAATAAAATGAAAAGGAGAAAAGACAATGGCCTGGAACCTTGAGACAACTTGGCAACACCTGATTCTTCTCCACCCCCCCTCCCCCGGCCCACCTGTCCGGCCTACACACTTGCTCCCAGATAGTTAAGGGTTTCCGACATGGCCCCTCTCGCTAATGTGTCCTTTGCTCACACCCGTACCTGCTCCCTCCCTCTTCCCTTCTCCAGAGGAAGTGGTGCTGCCTGCACACCTGTTACTGCCACCCTACCCCCAGCCTGCATACACCCCCTCTTCTGCTTGCCATGGACTTCTCTCCAACAGGCATCTATGGCCCTTTTCTCCACTCCCTCCATAATCCTGCCTTGCAAAAATCTTCAAGAATGATCATCACGAGGAAGAAGAGAAAGCAAAGCCTGGATTAGACTCTGCTTCCTCTGGCTGAGACCTGCTTAGCACCTCTCTGTGATGGATTCATGGGGCATAGGCTCTTTGCCAGCTGTTTCTCTTCCTTGTCTGGCTCCCGCTCATACCTGGATCTCCCTCACACCTTACAAACTGGCTTCCACCTCACTGCTCCTGGAAATGCCACTCCTGAGGGCTACTGATGACTTCCGGTCATCAAATCCAAGGTCTTAGCCTACATCTCCATCACCTCTCAGCAATCTTTGGCTCTGCCAGCCACATAACTGGCCTGAGCCTGCACCAAGGCCCAGCGTGATCTGACCTCGGTGGTCTGGTGTTGGAGTCAGACTGCCTGGGAATAAGTATTAGCTGTACCTGTTCTAGCTGTCTGACCCTGGGCCAGTGATTTGACCTCTTGTGCGCTATGCAATGAGGATAATAACACTACTTACCTCACAGGATCCTCGTGAGGTTTAAGTGAAATTATGCACGTAAACATCTCAGAACAATGCCTGGTGTAGAGGAAAGTCTGGTGAAGTCATCTGTTAGCACACAGCCTTGCTGACTTCCTGTGCACCCACCCCTTCTTCTCTGGGCTCTGGCATAAGTTTTGCCCTCAAACACTGTCTCCTCTGATGCTGGGTCGCTGCACTTGCCTCTCCCAGTGCCTGGAAGTGGCAAGTAACAAATCTTAGCTCCAATGGGCTTTAACAGACAAATACATTGATTGGTTCCAGAAACAGAAACCTTTGGAGATGATGGGGGTAAAGACAATACCATCCAAAGGAGAGAGACTGGGATCAGCTGCTGGGAAATTCTGCATTGCAAGGACAGGTTAGGAGGAAGGAGCGGTGGGTAGAAAGCCAGTTAATATCCAGAGGCCATTTCCTCTGTGAAACTTTGCTTGGGTGTACCTCCTGCAGTTACTCTACCACATCAAACTAACTTTCCGCATTCTTCTTTTCCCTTTTTGTTTGTTTGCTTTTGGTGGTTGTTTCTGTCTGCTTCCAAAAAACATGAACTTCCCATAAGCATGAGCTGGGGTGTTGGTTTCCATTATTTCCTCAAGGCTTTGTTCCAGAACCTGATATCTACAGCTGAAAATACACAAACATCGAAACGTCACTCTTCCTGGGCTTCCAGCACTCTCCATTCTCCTGGTTACTCCACTTTCTTGCATGTTCTTTGCCTTCCCTGCTACTCTCTCTTGCTCCTCCTCCCTACATGTGTACATCCACTGTCCTGACCAGGATAGACCCCCTTGCGATCTTGACTTCAGCTACTAGTTTTTCCTCTGAGTCTCTGTTCACAGTCATGTGCTTATCTGTGGTCCCAAACCATCCTGAAAGCCATCCCAGTGCTGAAGGAAGGGATGAAAGACACAGAGTACCTCTCCACAGAAGATATTCTCGATTTCAAGGCTCTCACTGAGCTGGGATTGAGATTCAGACAGTGCAGTTGGCCATGAGGGCTCTGGCCTCCTTGGTCATTCAGCCACATGGCCAGCCCATCACTGAGTTGGGGTTGAGAGTGATCACCTCGGCTCTCTCTGCTGGTTGTTGCTATGAGACAACCTTCAGGAGGCTGGGCCTAATTTGCTGTGGTGTCTTTGCCCACAGTCTCTGCTTAGTCTCCTTTATCGGGACCGAGGTGAATAATTTCCTTAGATCCAAATGCTAGGAAAAGCTATGCTTCTCCTGAGAACTGGTACACCGTCTTCTGTGAACAAGGGAGCCATGTGACCACACTAGCCCTTTCACTCATCCGCCAAGAGACTCCAGGTCCACTTCTAGCTGAACTTCGCAGCTGCCCCGGAGCCACTAAAGCACTTGCGTATTTGCTGCAGTCCGGATGCTTTATTTTTATTTGTATCTTACTAATTTACTGCATGCATTTCCTGTGAGCTATCTCAAATCCTCCCTGGAACTAGGTGGAGAATACATTAATATTTAAAATAAAATAAACAAACTGCCAGTGTGTGTGTCTGAGGTTGAAAATTCCTTAAGGGCAGGGACCATGTCTGTTTATGTAGCACCTGGCACAGTGTCAAATTGAGGCTTAACAAATGAATTTTGATGACAAGAAGAAAGAAAGGAACTGCAGAGTGTTGGGTCTCACCTTGGAGCCAAAGGGCCTCTGAATCCTTTCCCCAGGGGTCCCCTTCCTTACGCCTGACAAATCCTCATCTTGCTCTGGACTGTCCAGGCTCATCCTCATGCCCACTCTGTCCACACACTTTCCATAACTGAGCTGGTCCTTACCCACATGCACACTCACTCACAAATGCTACACTTCCTCACACAGTCACACCCACACTGTCCAGAGCTTCGCCTCAAATACCCAGCCCACCTCTCACCCACTGCCCTGACCCCGCAGCTTGTCCCAGGCTAGGCAGCAGCCTGTGAGGCCAGGAATTGCCAGTGGAGGAAGCGTTTGAGGTACTGCTGTCCCCATGCGTGCCTTGGCCCTGTGGGGGCCTCCAGCCAGGCGAGGACCTGGCAGAGGGAGGGAGAGGATAAGCTGCTTCAAAACTCCAGATGCAGCAGTTAAAAAGAGGACAGAGGCAATGATCCTTCAAATTGCCACATCTGTATAATCTGCCTTTTATTTTCTGCTTCATGAAGTTTTATTTCCTATTATTTATTCACCTCCCCGCCCTCCCCTCCCCTGCCTCCACTCCTCCTTAGCAGGCGACATGCTCAGATGGGCCCTGAGCCTTGGCCTGGGTCTAGGCCCACCCCCCACCAACTTCGCCCCTCCCCAGGCTGGCTGCTGGGAGAAGGCACCTGCTCTCCTCCTGAGTCCCCTCCTCCATCTCTTGGGAAATTTGGAGGCGGCACCCGCCCCCCCCATCATTACGTTTCAGCTCCTAAAGGCCCCTTTCTGATCTCCAAGTAGAATCCTGTGCGTGGTGGGGACAGGGGTCTGCAGAGGTGAGGCCTGTCCACACGGCCTGTTTCATCATCCCCATTTCCAAGGACCCTAGAACGCACAGCTAGGTGACGTCCCTCCACAGGCCCTCCTGTTCCCTTCCTTTCCCGTACCTGTCATTTTCCTCTCTCCACCCAGATGCTCCTCCCTCTCTATTCCTTCCAGTTCTTAGACCCTGACACTGGGGTACCAAGATGAGGGGGAGGGGCTTCTTTCAGAACCTTTTCCACCCATGTGTGGAGACAAAGAAGCAGTCAGAGAGACCCAGGCCATGTGCTCCAGGCTTCCTGTGTGTGATCCTGGGCTGGGGACAAGGCATGAGGTGATGGCTGGACAGGAGAGAGGATGCTGGGAAAGGTCTCTGGCATTTTCATCCTTTGTTACCTAGCACCCTCCTGACCCCTCTCTGGGACAGAGAAGTACAGACCTTTGGAAGAGAAGTCAGACTTTTGGGCCTGAGATTTGGGTCTTATAGTCAGGGCTCCTACCGGCTACTTCTGGGAGAAGACAGGGATGACTGAGAAAGGTCTAGGCAAGCGTGAAGGCGTTTGCAAATGCCATCGAAGCCTAGCAGTACTTTGTACGTAACTGTCTTGGGCCATTGCTTTCCCACCTTGCTCTATAGTTTTGCACAAGGCTCCTCCCTAGGCTCTGAGATTTTGAAAGGTGTTCATTAGTTTTGGAGGGGTGCTGCTGGATTTATCTTTTCTCCAAAGCACCTACCAACAGGAATGACTCATAGCAGGCGGTATATGAAAGCCTTCTGAATGAAAACGTGAAGGCTGTAGCTAGCTCTTCAGACCTCAGCCTGTGTCAACTGGGACTAGTTAACTCTGTTTCTTTTGCCCCAGCACAGAAGCCTACAGAAGCCTGGCCTTAGTTCAGTAAGCAGAGTCAGGACAGAATAAGCTCCTGTCAAGGTCAGAGGTGGGGACTAGAAGCCACACTCTTCTCCCCCAGAGACCAGATTTCAAAAGATGGTGTTTGGGTGCCAGGAGGTTGCGTGGTGATTAAGGTGCTGGAATCCCACGTGGCTGACCACAATTCGAGTCCCAGACCTGGTAGCTTGAAACTCATGCCAGATATGCATGCGTATGTGCCCAAAATCCCAAGAGGAGAATGGAGAAGAAGGGATTGCAGCATGGCCACCTCCCAGGGAGTGATTTCTCACTTTCCCTCTCACTGTCTCTCTCTTGTCTCTCCAGTGAAAGCACTTGTCCTATGGCAAAACCTTAAAAAAGAAAAAAGATGGTGTCTTCCTGATGAAAAATTACCTGGAGAATTGGGAGAAAGAGAGCTTCATACCTGAACCAGTCAGATGAGGCCCTTAATACTCTTCAGTGACCCAGGTAACTACTGAGTCAGAATACGAGAGCTGGATGTCATTCTGGTCCAAGCCATGCATTTTATAGCTGAGGGAGCTGAGGAGTCTCCTGGAGTGACAGCAGAGAGAGTGAGGTTGGTCACCACCCTCCACGCCAAGCCGCAGCTCTGAGCAACGTCACTGGACCACTTTCTCCCCGGGAGGAGGGGAGCAAAGGAGATGACCTGGAGTCTTGTTATGACAATAACTAACAGGCTGTAATAACACCCACAAATCCAGCCCCTAGAACAATAGGGCAGGCCCTTCCCTCCTTATCAGCAAAGATGAGGCTCTACCGGAGAACTGGCAACTCTCTGAGAGGTGAATGCCTTCCTGACCTCTATAGCCACCCAACAAGAGCTGTTGCACCTGGCCTTGCCCCTCTCCCTTCTTTCTTCCCCTTTTCTCTTTCTCCTGCTTTTTTCTTTCGGTGGAGATGAGATTCCACTCTGACCAGGCTCATCTATTTTATGGACAATTTATTCTGCCCCCCCCATTTTGCCAGAGGACACGTGAAATCTAGAGAGAGAGACAGAGAGAAAGGGGATATGAGAAAGCACCCTAACGGGTCATGGCCAGCATCCCTTTCTTCTCTGTTTCTCCCTCCTGTAGGATTTTGGGAATGCACATACATCCTCCCAATGTGTTTCTCAAGCCACTGGGTCCCAGACTCAAACTGTGCAGTTGGCCATGTGGGATCTAGCTGCTTAACCACCATGCCATAGGCTGGCCCATTTTATGGAGAACTTCTTTCTTGCTACAATAGAGTCCTCTGGGTGCTCTCATCTCCTAAGAGGGGGGCATGAGAGAGGGGAACACACCTGGGAGCCTTCACTCTGGACCCCCAGGAGGCAGGGCAAGGATGAGAAGGCTGCTACAAGGTGATGGAGAGTTGAGGTGCCCCAGGGAGTGAGTTCCCGGTGCATTCCAGGGAAGGCTTGGGGCTAGCAGTTAAGCATTCTCTCAAAGCCCTTGTTTTTTTTTTTTTTTTTTAATAAAAATAAATTAAAAAAATAAAGAACTGACATTGAGCAAACAAAAAAGCTGTATTTGTAAATGAGCTTGTTTCTCATTCAAGGGCGACTCCTGGAGTCTGGGCAGCGGTAGGCTTGTGTGTGGTTGTGTGCACACACACGTGTGGGGGGGGGGTTGCACACGTGTGGGCCTGGGATCCTGAAGCTGTGGAGAAGGGGCCTTGGCTGGGGAGAAGGCAGGTGGAGCCTGATGAAGAGAAGACCAGGGAGGAGGAAGGGAAGTGGGGGTCTCTCAGGGGGTGGGAAGGGGGCGCAGTGGGGGAGGGTGTTGGCTTCACGCTGTTACTAGTTTGATTTATCCCTAATGAGTTCTCAGCACATGGCTGCTCCCGGCTCACTCCAGGGGCCAGCACGGCCTCCCGCGGGCCGCAGCCCGCCCCGACTCCACAGCAACAGCCGCAGCCCGCTCCGAAAAGAGCCAATTTCCACACTGCACAGTCCGCTTCACTCAAGGGGAAATCACATTTCCCTGGGAGAGCCGCAGGCAGCGCTTCACTCCACAGCCTGGCCGGCTGCCCCGGGGCACATATGCCGAGGAGTCGGCCCCCACCTCTCTGTCTCTAAGACCCAGAGCCTGACTTCTCGCCTCCTGCCAAGGCCTGAGCCCCCTGCCCTCAATGTCCAAATGGCTTCTCTCCATTGCTGGGCGCCTGGCTTTGACTGTTTCTCTGGAGGAGGGGTGCTGTCCAGGGGAGGATGCTCAGGAAAGAGAAGGAGGGGTCTTTGCCATCTCCTCCAGCCTCTTCCAGGAAGCAGGAGCAATCACCCTGGTGCTGCAAGGGGTGCGGGATGCAGAGACGGGGTTGATGATGGAAGTGTGTGTACGTGTGAGCAGGGAGCCTTGGGGACAGGTGTCTGCATCCCATGATGCTATGACCTCCAGGTTACATGTCCCAGAGGCCCCAGAGAGCCAAAGGAAGAGAAGAAAGCCATGAGGAAGATGCAGAGCCAGAGGGAGGGAGAGAGAGAAGAAACGCATTTCCCGAGCACATGCAGGACTCTAAGCCTTCACAAACATTTACTTTATTTTCCTAGCATCCAAAGCCCTGGGGACACAAAAGTCTCACAAGGGAAGAGAGAGAGAGAGAGAGAGAGAGAGCAGCCTTTGAGAACAGTGATGTTCTTTCCACCAGAGCCATAGCCGTGACCATCTGGGTGGCTCTATGTCAGAAGTGAAACTTGGGGCTGAGGAGCAGTCAGCTCCCCGACAGATGAACATGCTTTATGACCCTAATGGTGAAGGGAATTCAGGGGCAAGGACACAGGAGATGGGAGATCAGTCTGGCTCCAGCACTCTTCTGCTGATCTCGGGCCTTTCTGTCAGGGCTCTCAGCCAAGTTGGGAGTGTATGGCAGTGCTCTAACTGGACAAGTAACTTCCACCCTTCCTGCAAAACCAAGGGCTCCTGAGGCCCTTGTAGCGGCCCGTTCACACCCAGTTATTAGAGGCCTTAGAACGGGATGTAGATGACAAAGTCATCTCTTGGTCCCCATCTCCCCAAGTATAAAGCAGGACCAAAGTTCTGAATCACGTAAGTGGATGTGGAAGAGCTGTGTACATGGAAGAATCTCCACGTGAAGGGTTATTATAACTTCCGGGGCTGGAGGAGGACAGGAAAGGTTAAGTAGTGGGTGAAGAGGAAGCTTGGG